CCCTCATTGATGCAAGTGGCCGTCGCTGTTGTATCCGAAAATGTTTACCAGATTTAAAACGAAATTCTTCCGACAAGCTGTTGGCATTCGCATGCTTATTCGAAGTCGACTATGACACTCCATCCAAGACTCAATTGATCGATTCGAACCATTATACTCTCGTAGAATCCTGTGCCTTCGGATGGTGGTACACCAGTCTGTTGCCTAGCAAGCAACGCATTGTTGTTTTTCATACTGATGACGATCTGCTCCATCAGATTAATAGAAAAATCAGACTAGCTGAGGAGTTTAATGAATTCATAAAGGAAACTTCCACACATATTGCAAAACACATAAGCGAATATTCATATCGTCCTGTGGGGAAAAGGGTTATGTGCATGCCTGCGAATTCAGCAAGCCTTTCTCAATTTGGTAAGTATCTAATTTTTATCGTGTGTTGATAGTATTGACATTTAACTTTTAACTATAATCCCAAATCAGCTTCCTACGAAAATCGATGGATAGCGATTGGTGATAGTGCCGTTTCTTTTGATCCACTCTCATCCCAAGGGATGCTTACCGCTCTAAATAGCGCAAAGTTTGGGGCAGAAGCAATATTTTTCCAATATTTTAATGGTAAGAAGACGAAAAACGAAGGGAAACAAATTCAGCCCTTGGAGGTCTATCAGCAATACATCGAGAACGTATTGAGTAAATATATGAGAGAAAAAGAGTTTTTTTATAATAAGGAACAAAGGTGGAATAATGAAGTGTTTTGGAAACGACGACACAAAGATCTCATTGAGGTGTGAAAAGAGTGTACATAAGTGCTTTGTTTCATTCGTCTCAATAATTTATATTAACTACTGCATCAATGTCAACACAAGTTATTAATAAACAAAATGCAAATATGTAATTAATTAAATGGAAGAATTTGCAATTAAAATTTTATTTGTAAAGATAAAGTTATAATTTTTGCTACAATTTCTTCATTGAGTTGTTAACTAGTTTTATTGTGACATTCATAAAATAATATTTTTAATTAATGTTTTTTTATTGATGAAGGTTTTAGTTTTTTTAATTTTAAAAAT